AGAAGATGCAGGGTGATTCTGTTGCTGGGTGCCAAGAGCACCAGTGCCTCCAGCTCATCTTTGGGATATGTTGCACTCGTTGATGGGTAAATAATTGACCTTCATAAAAGCACCAGGCAGGAGGTTTGGAGGCTTCCTGGGAGACATGGCCCAGTGCTGTGCTGGCACCGTGCCTCTGTTCTGCCCCGGCCCCTTCCCCAGGGCATAAGAGGGACATCGGGTCTTTGTCTCACTGCTGGGTCACCAACCCCAGTGTTAACTGGTGGCTTTGGGCTCCTGCTCCCTGTAATCTGGACAGAGCAGAACATGTTCGTGAAAGCCTTCACGTGCTCAAATAAAAACCACAAACAGTGAGCAGAGCCCAGGAGGGTCTGAACCGGTGCTTTGCACTCCGGCAGAGTCCTCTGAGACCCAGGATTTTCTTTAAAGCAAGCGGTGGCGGTGCGCGTTATCTCCTCGGCCTCCCCGAGATGACAGATAACGTCTCGAGCCGCGTTGCCAGCACACGGTAACGAACGGCCGTAGGTCCCAGCTCTCGCTTCGTGAGAATTTGTGTAACAAGAAGTGACAGCCCCCTGCTCGCCCCCAGCACCCTGGTTGCATCCCTGCCCGATACGAGCGGAGGGCGGGTTGGGTCGTTCTCCTCTGACACTTGTCTGGTGGTTTTATGTCGTGGCTGTCTTCATCCTTTGGTCGTGTATGCCCGACGCGTTTCACTTAGTGTGATGGGGTCTGAAGGGTTTTCATTTCGATTCATCTCCTTTAGTTATCTTCCTTTTCAATCTTTCATTTCAGGTTCTACGCAGCAGAAATAGCCATCGGCCTCTTCTTCCTGCAGAGCAAAGGCATCATTTATCGGTAGGTGAGCGAGTTCCTCCTTCCTCTCCTCCCCCGAGGACTCCGGCCGGAGTGATGTGACGCTGGCGATGCTCTGCAGGGCTCCTGCATCCCAGTGCTGCCGTACAGCGACCAGCCCAGGGTTCTGCTCCCCACTCGGGCTGCAGGTGGGGCTGGCGGCTGCCCGGCGGGTCGCACGCCTGAAACGGAGCTGGGAGCCTCGTAGTGTCGCTGGTTTTAGAGAAGGTGCATGTCTTTGTCCTCGTTGTGTAGGAAAGATTGCTCACGAGGGCAGCTTTGGTTCCTCTCTTGCCTGTGTCTCATGCGTTTCTGTCCGTACGACACCAGCGCTCGCTGGCAGCACGGACCGATCCTGAGCTGCGTATTTTGCTGCCAGGCAGTTTCCTTCCCATTAACGTTGGAGTGAGCACTTGTGAGTGGCTGATTCTGAGATCTGCAGTGCAAGTCTGTCACTTCTGCTTCAGGCACTGAAACTTCTTTTCCATTCACAATAAGGTTACAGCATCCCGAGTTGGGGGGGTTAGTGCCGAGCGCCCGAGCGGGCTCCCAGGCTGCTGGTTAAGCACTGAAACCAGCGTATGGCTGTGCCCCCCTGCTCGGGAGTGTTCCCAGAGCCGGAGGTAGAGCAGCGCATCCCAATGGGTGTCAGATGCCGTTAGCTGCTTCGCAAACGGAACGCCAGCTGTGCTGCGGAGGGATGGGACGGGTGCTGAAGACTGTTCCGAAGATGAAAGATGTGGAGTGAACCTGATGTGAGGATGTTTTTTGCCATCAGCCGCTGCAGAGAGATTCTGGGTCTGCCAATCCCCAGTGCCCCTTCTTCCTTCCTTCCTTCCTCTGAATCTGCACCCGGGCTCGTGTCCCTCTGCCCTCGGCCCGTCAGCGTTCTGCGCGCTGACGCACTAATTGGAAAAAGCAAACGGCAAGAAGCTGTAAATTCTGCTGTTCCCTGTATCGATCCCTGACTTAACCAAGTGAAGCCTCAGCACCACGCAGCCCCGCAGCTCTGCTGAGCGGGCTGGTCCCGGGGCGGGTTTCAGCAGGGGGTCCCTAAGAAGAGGCTCACACAGACACGGTGAGCCCCTCGTGCCGGTGCCAGCCCCTGCCATATGCCTGTTCTCTTCACCCGCGGGCAAGGTGTGCGGCGGGGCAGAGCTGCAGAGACCCACACCGGTGGGACACTGGCACCTGCCTTGTCACTGACTGTGTCGAGGGAGACCTTGCAGACACGCTCCGGTGTTGAAGCGGAGACCTCTGAGTAGGGCTTTACCGTACAGAGCGTAAAGAAGCCAGAAACGGCGCAGATGGCAGATCAGAGAAACTTGGTTGATTTGTATTTTCGTGGTGGAGCACGGCAGAGGTGATGCAGGGACTTCTGCTGAGTAGGTACTTCTTCCTGGCTGGTGAGCTTCAAGTGTGCTTTGATTTTCGTAGGTGCAAAAAAAAAATCATCTATTAAATCTGTCTCCCTGCGAGATGAGAGTGGTTTTTGTTGTACACTTAAAGCAGTTTGCCCAGCACAGCGTTCCTGTGCATTAAAGGTAAACTAGACGCTTCATCCTGGCAGATCTCTTGACTTATTTTTGCTCATTTCCCCAAATATCATTCCACAAAGAGTCCAGGTGTGAGATGAAGCCAGACCTCACTCGCCGGAGAGCGCCCGGAGCCGGGAAACCTGTGCCTTTGCCGGGGGGCTTCACGCGTGGCCCCTTGTGTCATCGTTTCGCTTTCTCTTTGCAGAGACCTGAAGCTGGACAACGTGATGCTGGACAGCGAGGGGCACATAAAGATCGCCGACTTCGGCATGTGCAAGGAGAACATCTGGGACGGGGTGACCACCAAGACCTTCTGCGGCACTCCGGACTACATTGCTCCGGAGGTAGGGCACGCGCGAGGGCGGCAGATGCTCCGGTGTGTTTGGGTGGCCCTGTGCGATGGACTTTTCCATGGGATGGCTTTGCTGTGGGCAGCTTTCTGAGGGAAAACAGGGGCATTGTCAGCCTGGGAAGTTCATCCCCTCAGCACCATCCATCCCCCCAGAGGCATCACCCCACGGCTGCCTTTAAGGAGGCAGTGACGTTGGATCTGCCTCTCCGGCTGCGTGCCCTGGTGCTGCCTCCAGGCACAGAAAATCCTCCGTGCCAGTCTCCCACAGCGTGTTTTCCCTCCCTGGGTGTTTTTCCCATGTCTGTGCCGCTGGCATTCGCATGCTGGTCCCATCCTTGGCACGCTCAAACCCACCAAGGGCTGCTCCTTGCTCCTGGCAAAGGTGAGCCCAGGAGCTCAGCTGTGCCCCTCGCCGCGTGTCAGCCACGTCCAGCACGACATGAGCGGTGGGGAAACATGGAATTATTAGTGGGTAACGTTTCCATGCGAAGTGGGAATCTTTAGGTGTCTCCAGGGCTGTGTGCCCGGTGAGGAGAGGCTCCGCTCTACAGCTCTACATCACTCAAACGTTATTTTGCATTTGGTTATCACTTGTGTGATGGAGTCACGTGTGGCACTTACGGGACGTGCTGTATGGGAGCAGTTTAAGGTCAGACTTGGGGAATTCAGGTAGGTAATTGTTCCCAAATGCCTGTTCCCTTACCGTAAAAATGTCTCTCTCGAATCTTCTCACTCTACTGAACTTTCAATGATGAGATTCATATTTATTCATTTGAATATTTTAGAGAAAGAGGCTCTCTTTGCTAGGACACAGCTAGATGTGCCTGTGTGCTGAACTACACCGTGTTTTGCTGCAGCCAGAGAGGTTTGTGATTGCTCGCTGGGATGTGCGTTACACACCCCCAGATTAATCCTACCAAGGTTAATACAGGTGTCCTGGTGGTACAGAGCTCAGTTGCTCTGTGTGATTAATACTCTTTCAAAGCAGGACAAATGACCAGTTCTCTTCATATTTGCCTGAGCATTATCACCTAGACTCTTATTTTCTTCTGATTGCTCTAATTTATTTTTTTTTCCAAAAGGAAAACAAAGGATGGGAAATAAGATGCAAATGACTGTGGTACTCTGGGATGCTGTTAGAGCCTGCGACCAGTGGGTCTCAAAGGAGGGAATATCTGCATCCCCTACTTTGTAACTAGGAGAAGGGGGCGTGCGGTTCTGGCGTGGGCTCCCGCTGGGTGGCCAAGGTGGCAGAGCCGGGCTCCCTGCCCGCAGCTCCGTGCCTCGGCCCTTCTGCCAGACCAGGCGTCCTCCCGTGCGGAAGCTGCAGTGTTCTTGAGCCAACATGTCTTCAGGGTAGAAATGTCCTGTGATTTGCTTGACCCATTTTTAGAGCTTTTTCCATTCTAAGCCCCAGCTCTGCGTGCCAAGGTGATGGGTTCTGAGTTGGTGCGTGCCATTTCCCCTGAACAAAACCCGTTCTTTCCTTGTTGGGTTTTGACCTTCCCTAACGTGCAGTTGGCAACTTCAATTTGCAGCGGCTGCTTTTCTGCAAGGATTTCTTCTAAGTACTGTTTTCTTTTAAAGGCCTTTATGGTGTGAACAGTTCACACCTGAATTTCCCAGAGCGCTCGTAAATCATCTGAAAAAACAAGTGGGAGGAACTCGAAGCGCACTCGGTCGAGGGGTTTCAGAGCTGGGACTCGATGTCTGATCTCAGCAGGACAGGTCATAGATTTCATAGATTTCAAGGTTGGAAAAGACCTTAGAGATCATCGAGTCCAACCGTCCCTAATCCCCATTAAACCATATCCCTAAGTAGATCATCCACCCTATTCTTAAACACAGCCTGCAGCTGGCCCAACCCAGGACACTGTCCGGGCACTCGGTGTCGTGTCACTGCATTTGGACACGTGGCTGGCCCAGGACCAGGACTCCAGAAAAAAGATTGACCTCGGTCGTGTTCTCTGCCCGTGCCACGGTGCCAGTGCTGTCGCCAGGTGGGACTCAGCAGCAGCACCTGACCCGTGTCCCAACGTGCCTCCCGCTCACATCCCGCTGGGCACCGCGAGGGCTTCTG